ATTTTTTTTTTTATGAATGAGCAAGTTTGCTTTTAAAAAAATATAAAGATACAGAACAAAAAAGATTGGAAGGATAAACACAAAAATAGTGACTAACTTGTAGGATTATAAAAGATTTTAATTTTCTTCTTGCAATTATTTTTCTTTCAAATTGTAAAACTGGAAGCAAAGTAAGTGAAAACTTTAAAATACCAGTGACTAATTTTATTTTTGCTGGCTTTTAAAAAAGTAATATATTTCTGCGTAGGTTTTAAAATTTCTCTGGGAATGTATTCATGCAATGAAATGAATCATTAAAAAATTATTCACAGAATACTACTTTTGACATATAAAGATGTTTCTAATACTAAATGAAAAAAGCAGATTATGAAACAGCATAAAACATGATCCCAATTTTTGCTTTAAAAAAAAGTATAAACAAATGTCCTGAGGGATGATCATGAGGAAGTTAATCATGAGGTTATTCCTGGATGACAGGACAGTAGATTTTCTGGTACCAGCTCTCTTGTTTTCTGCTTATTTGCAATTCCTGTTTTTCTAAGATGGACATGTACTTCTCTGAAATAAAAAGAATATTTTTTTCTCAATAAAAAGTTAACCTGAGGAATAATTTTAAGGTGAGTTTTTATTAAATGAGAATGGGTTATATTATTGTTCATTTTGTTCTCTATTTCTGAGGGGCTTTGATTTTTCCCATTACAAATGTTATGTGTATTTTTTATTGTCTGCTTTATAATTATAAATTTGTGTTTAGAATGTGTTAAGTATTTCGACATCTCTCGTCCAACTGAGTTCACTTCATTAAAAAAAGTCCCTCTCTCCCAGCAAATAGACTGACTTGTAAATGAATAAACCCTTCATATTTTTTTTCCTGTTTGTACCAGAACACAATATTCTGAGAGATCCCACTGATATTTAGGGCGTGGCTTCTGGCAACACCCAGGGGTGTTTCTGTCTTCCAGAGGTGTCCCTGCTGAATCTCTCCACAGAGCCAGCCCAATGGGGTGAGATAGTTTGGTAGCACAGGCTCCCAGCTCTGGAGGGCTGGCAATACCACCGTGTGACACCACATTGCTTTCAGCACAGGTCAGCCTTCAATGGAAACTTCTGCCTAGTTCTGGCAATGGGCGAACAGGCAGAGGACAGGGGACAGAGGATTTTTCTCCCCTTTCTCCATCAGGAGACAGAAAAACCTCATTCTTAATCAGAGTATATAAACATAAGTTGAGGTCAGAAGTCTCCCTTGTGGTTCTTCCCAGACTCACTGCTGACATTTGCTTAACTTAACCTGCACTTCTCTCCTTCCGTTGCTGGCTGACTCGAGACTAGACACTGTTAGAGGAGCCCTCGGAGAAAGGTTTTGAGGCCAGAAAGGCGCTCTGGGAGGAAACTGGCTACCTGCTGTCGTCCTGTAACAGCTTCTCCAGCCCGTATGATCTGGTCAGCTCCTAGCCTCCCAGCCTCCCCGGTGGGGCTGCGCCCAGGGAGGCAGCACAGATAAGCACAGTGCATTCTGCCAAAGAGCCTGGCTCCAAGTGTATTTTCGAGTCAAGCCTAAAAGATTCCAGGATAACTACTTTTTTATATTATCTACATTTACTTGCCCAGCATAATATTGCAATCCTTTATACGTCTGTGTTACTTTGTAATTTTAAAAGTACATTCTCCTGTGAGATAATCAGCACCTAACTCTACTATTTTTTACCTCCCAAGTTATTTTTTTTTCAATTATTTCTTACCTAAAGGTAAATTAACTTTTAACCCTAATGCTGCAATATATATTATCTAAGGCAAGACTTCTCTGTGTTTACAACATGCTGGTAGCAAGAACCATCTTATGTACTCATTTTCATGTTGGCCAAATATTTCTGGTTCTCCCCCTTCCTGGCATGTGGGTAGGTTTGAATTTCCTGGTCCCATAATGACTGGGTGACACTTTGGGACAGCTTTTAACACTCGAACTGGAATCGGAAGTGACAGATATCACTTAGAGGCCAGAACGTTCATGGCAGAAGGGAGACCCTCCACCAGTCTCCCTTCTGCCATGGCAAGCCACAACATTCCAGATAGTGACTTCAGGGTCAGTCTGACCCCGGAGGATAAAGAAGTTGTAACGGAGCTCCCATCCAACCTGCGATGGACATCAAGTGTGAGAAATTAACCTGCTGTTTTAGGCCACTAGGAGTTTGGACTTGCTTATTATTGAGCATAACCTATAGCCTATCCTGACTGAGGCCATGTCTATAGGCTTTTCTGGGGAAAAGGATTTAAAGTGTTCATCAGATTCTTAAAGAGAATCCTTGTTCCAGAAAAAGCCTGAGTTCCACTGAACTAGAAGTATAACAGAAATAGAGGCTTTTTTTTTAAAGGAAAAAATTAAGCCGGATAGAAGGAGACTGGGGGAAGAAATCAGACAAGTGGAAGGCATACCCTTGGCAGAATTACCCCAGTCACATCTAACATAGCACCACAGCACCAGAAAACACACGTCTAACTGAAACTCCATCAGCCTACCTCTTCCCACATGGTATCCTGGGTAGAAAAACTCTCCCTACTAGGCATCACTTCTATGTTATGTAAGTCTCAAACTGAGTTCTAATTTCTGCATTTCTAATATAGTATCACAAACGATTATTAGCGTGGACGAAACTGGGGGAAGACTAACTTGGGAGCAGAAGGGGTCTGGTGGGGTAATGGGGTATTAGCATCAGTCCAGAAAAGCGCCCTAAGGAGCTGGTCCCACTTCATGGAGTAAACGTGGGAAGACGGAACGCATTCTTGTCTGACCCTTGCAAAAAGGATTCTCTTGGCAGCTATTCTAGTTAAAGCCGTGTCCCGTCAACTTTAAAAGGGGGGAATATCCAGGCTGGTCCCTGCGGAGCTGTGCCAACTTTTGATCTTTTCACTAGATTTCACAACCAAGGAAGAAAGTTTTAAAAAGGAAAACCTAATGAAAGAGACACACGGAGAAAGACAGATGCATGCCCTCCTCCCCAAACACACACACCTACTCAGAGATTACATTCCCCAGTGATCTTTGAGCGTTGTGACCTCATGGTGGGGCTCATTTGTCATGCTAAGCAAAATGGAAAACATGTTTTTAAAAACAATCACAGTCCAATGTAGGAACTGAGTCATGTGCCCCAGTTCACTATAAACTTGGGAAAACACCACTCCCCAACTGGCAGGAAATTCCTCATTAGGAAGCCAAAGCATACTGTAAATTAGCTCTCCTACCCCACAGGATGGTGGGTGACCTCTCTGGCCCCTTAAAGCTCTTAGCAGGAGCTCCTGGCATGGTCACTGGGGAGAAGGCCTGAATTTGGGAAATGAAGATTTCGGGGACTTGCAACTTCATAGGAAAGATTGGGCAAGTTCCATTTCCTTGCTCTGTGACCTGGGTCGTTTTGGTTTTACTTTCTTCATCTGTAAAATGGGGAGAATAATAGTTCCTACCAGCTTGGCCACTGTAGGATCACTGAGTTAATTAGGTAGAAGGCACAGTGCTCAGAACCATGCCTGGTGTGCAACAAGTTCTCTAGCTTATTCTTACTACTGGTATCATTATAGGCATGGTTACAGATGGAAAGCTTTCCTTTAAATTTCCTTTTTAACCCCCAAAATGTATTCCATTAAAAAAACCACAAGAGTGAGGTCCACTTCTAGGTTCTAGGTTCAATTTTTGGCTAAATTCATGGGAAAGCCAGCCCACCTGCTACCCATCAAACTGCCTTTATCCAAAAGCCTGGAAGCTAGAAGCTGGGGACCAACTGGGGCTTAGAAGCAGACCCCAGGTCCCTGCTGTCCACTCTGCTCAGGGTGGAAAATGCCGTGGGCCTTCCTTAAGAGCAGCTCAATAATGCGTATCTGAAGACAAACTAAAAAGAAAAAAAAAGTAGCAGGTGAAAAGCTGGGCAGCGTTAAGCAGATTTGCTAATAATCTGTTTCATGTCACCTCAGGGAAATTCCACCGTCCAGAAAGAGTCCCCTCTCCCCCATGAAAGCCCCAACCCAGAGGAACCAGACACCTGAGTGAAGTTCCCTCAGATTATTTCGGAGCAGAAATTCCCCACTCTGCCCTCTCCCTGGAAAATGGAGCTTGGTGAATGAAAGAGCCCTGGGATGAGAATCAGGAGATTCAGGTGCAGGTTCTCTGTTTGGCCTTGAGCATGTTCTTGACCTCCCCGGGTCTCAGTTTTTTGTTATTTTGTTTTTTGTTTTCTTCTTTGCTCTCTGTTCCATGAAGGGCATCCTCAGGTGAAAATTAAACATGCACATTCAAGACTCTCCACAACCTGGGCCCACCACCCTCCCAGTCAGGCACTTAAGAGTTCTCGAAGGGGATGGCTTTGTGAGTCACAGTGACCTCACCACTCAGCTGCAATCGACTGACCGGTTGCTTAACACCCCTAGTCCTGAGAAACGGGACATTCACACCTGGCAAGGTTGTTCTCCGGGTGGGATGAGCTGACGTGCGGGATGACCTCACTGTGCCCAGCACATGGGAGAGTTCTACGCACATCAGCACCCTCATCTCCTGCTTTTTCCCGGGCGAGCCCCATGGCCCCAGGGGGAAGGTTAACTTGTTGCATGCTCTGTCCTTTCCCATGGGCCTTGCCCTATGATGTTCCTCTGCCTGGGAAGTCATTCCACCCTTCTCCATGTATTTAAATCCTATCCACCTCTAAGGCCCACTTCAAGAGCCACCTCCTCCAGGCAGCCTGCCTGCATCCAGTCCAGCTAAAGCAAACTTTCCTGGCACATACACAGTAGTCCTGGAACAGACACTCCATTCTCTGCTTTGCATTACTAATGGGGCATCTTGTCTTATAGCCTCTCTCTACTAAGAAACTCCCTTTTTGATGGCCAGGATTCTGTCTCTCCACAGGCTCTAATGCAGAAGAGGCCACAGCATCCAGTAGGAACCTCTTTGAATTGCAAATTCTCAGGTCCACCCAGATCTACTGAATCAAAAACTCTGGGAGTAGGGCCCAGAAATCCCATGCTTTAATAAGCCCTTCAGGAAATGCAGATGCTTGCCAAAGTCTGAGAACCACTGGAATAAGGGTTTGCTGAATAAATGGTTGAATGAGTGAAAGTAAAAGTGCCATAAAAATACATGGGAAGGAGGTGGGTAAAGCTCAGTGGTAGAGCACATGCTTAGCATGTATGAGGTCCCAGATTCAGCCCCGAGTATCCCCATTAAAAATATAGACATACATACATACACACAATTAAATTTTTTTAAAATGCACAGGATGACAATAATAATAATGACCAGGTCCTGACAGCCTCAACCACGGTGGTGGGAAAATAGGATCTTTACTTCTCGTCTGATGCAGACCTAGTTATGACTACTGGCTTATGTCACAAGAGACTGAAAAGACATAGGAGAAAAGGTGCTGGCTGAAGCTTAAGGTCTGTGTGTGCTTGTGTGTCTGTGTAAAGTGGGCTGTGTGTGTGTGTTTGTGTATATGTGAGAGAGACAATCCTCAGCACACAGGAAAATTCAGCTTAGTGGTGTTATGAGGGTTGGTGGAAAAGGCATTTATTTTTCCCTGAGGCCTTCCCTGTAGGCCACTATGGTTAAAGAGGTGCTCTGATGAAAACCCTGCCAAGGATTTCCTGGCTGAGATTTTTTCCTTCCAAAGGAAAGAGACAAAAAGAATAACCCAAAGCCCATTACTTTCACATTTCAGGCCAAGTTCAGCGGCAATTAGAGAGAACTGGGTTCAAAGCCACAAAAAGCATAGTTCTGCTGAGAACGGAAAGGACTCACTCCAACACGCAACCTCCCTCCTAAACACATCAGACAGAGGCCAGGACCTTAAGAAAGAGGAAAACCAAAGAATTCTGAGGGGGCAGAGCACACACTGGGCATCTCCTGACCCAAAAGCCATTTCTGGGCACCGACACGAGGAAATTTTTGCTTTTGACAGTCTCTGCCCCTCCAGAACTTGGAAAGCACGGGCCATCTTGTACCAGGGTGAGTCCTTCCTCCCCGTCCAGACCCTGGTCTCTGTCTGGCCGCCTCCTTTCCCCAGCTGACCATAACTGGAGAGATCATTAGCCATCGTGTAGCTCTTCCTTTGGCTTTCCTCAGGCCCTTGGGGTGAAGTGCCTGGTTCCCAGACAGCCTGCCTCCCTGCCATCTGGGTCTCCTTGTCCCCGCCGCCCTACCCTCCTGCCCGGCCTTTGGTGACCCAATTCTGGTGGCCCCTGTATCTGCCCCGCCAACGGCCCAGGAGGCTCTGTCAATCTGAAATGCGGCCATCAGCGACTCCATTCCTTTCCGCAACTGATGCTGGCTGGGCTGGGCCCCAAAAAAACAAGCTGCAGCTCTGTGGCTTTTTGGCAGCCCAACTTCTACTTTTGTTTTAACAAGGGGTGGGAGGGAGAATTCGAACCCTGTGGTTATCTGCATTTTAAAACATTTAAACACAGTCTGTCCACCTGCCCGGCACTTTGTGTTTCTCCAGTGAGTCCTCAGCCACACCCCTTCTAAAATAGCACCAATAACTCCAGGCCTGCCCTTGCTGCTGCTTATGTGCATGGAGGATGGCGGGGGACATCTTGAGCCCTGTTTTCTCCTTGGGGAGGAGTCTGCCCTTAACAAACCCTGGGATTCCTCAGAAAGGCAGATGAGCTCGTCCTCACGAGGGAAGGACAAGCGTGAGGAGAGGTCGTTTGTAGGAACCATTTCCACTAGCTACAAGATCCATTTGCATTTAGAGGGAGAGACTTTCCAGCCAAGAGTCTAATTTCCTTTCCATTTCAAACAATAGCCTTTCTAGTTGCTTTTGGACCATATCACTGATGTGGGGGGAATAGGGAGATCAGAAAGGAAAAGGGGAAAAAGGCAGAGATGGTGGTGGCAGTAAGGGTGTGGTTGACAAGCCCAAAGTTTGTTTCCAAATGGAGGGAGTGATGGGAGCCTAGAATTACCTCAGGAAACAGCCTACCATCTCCTCTATCAACAGACAGTTGTGAGAACCACTGCAATGCTGGTCCCCTGGGAACTGTCTGCCCTTAGGGCTTCCCCATCCTCCCCTTCTTTGTCTGGCATCCTACAGTGTCTCGTCTGAGTTCCAAGATCAGAGTACAAAATGTTTCAGTGAACTCTCTGAGCTTGGGTGACTCCCTGAAGACCATGGCAATGTCACCACCCACCCCTGTGCAACTCTGGAAGGTGCAAGTGGTCTTGGCCTCCACCAAGCTAGTGGCAAGACAAGGGTTGTATCCACGTGGTATTTAGCTGACAGTAACAGGTTAGGTGACTGGAGACACTTCAGTTTGAGACATGGGGAAGGAACAAAGGGGGCTGAACCTCTAAGCTCCTCTCCGGGAGGGCTCTGTCAGCAAAGACCTAGGGAAAGATTATCCCTTTGAGAGGGACCCTTGGAAACAGAGGCAGCTTCTTGATGATCTATGGGGAATTCTAGGAGCCCTGGTGGTTCCTATGAGGAAACAGCATTACAGCCATCCACAGAGAGCAGCCCAGCTTTCACAGCTGTGTGGCAACTGCAAACCTCTTTTGGCGAAGATGGCAAGCCTGGGCGTCTGGGCTGGCCCATGGAAGGATGTAGTTGTCCCACAGTGGAGAGGGCATCAAAGAGAACCCCAGATAGGCGCTTCTGCAGGAGACCCGCTAACCACGGCCTCTTAAGAAGGCTCAGACCATGTTCTCCAGTCTTTAGCCTATGCTGTCCACAGGGCATCAGAGCTCTCCTCCTCTACAGAGGATTCACTTCTAGAACCTGGAAACAGATTCTGCTCACCAACACTGCCACTGAGAGAATAAGAAAAGGACTGACCAGCCCGCAGTTTCCCAATGAGCAGAGGCAGTAACCAAGACCCTGGGATGCCAAGAAAGCCCCAGGCAAGGACTTACACCAGAGTTCATAGTAGTAGTTGCAGCACTGAGACTGTCCACAGCAGTGTCCTGTGTCACAGATGTAGCTCTGATTATTGGTACCCACACAGGTTTCCTTATCCTAAAAGAAACAGAAAACATTTTAGCCTATTAAATTATAGCTTTTAAACACCAGTTTTCTTCTTGTCCCCCTCTTCCTGGCTGTCTGCCCACCCTCCACCAAAACAGTTTGTCCCAATGTTTATTCCATTAAGGGAAAAAAACAAAACAAAACAAAACAAGAAAGAATCACACAACGACATCAGATTTAAAAAAAAAAAGGTTTATTAAAGGGGGAAGAGGATTCAGCATACAAAGCCAACTGGTAAAGAGTGGAGTAATGGAAAAGAATCTGAAAAAATAAATCTCTCTCTCTATATGTATGTATATGTATAACTGAATCGTTTTGCCGTATACCTGAAACACTGTCAACTGACTATACGTCAATAAAAAATAAGAATTTTTTAAAAATAAAAAATTAAAAATAAATAAAGAGTGGCATTCTCCTTGGACAGAAAAGGGCTGCCTCCCTTTCTTTAAGTCTAAGTAGAAACACTCCATGCTCTGGTGCTCAACTCAGCCGTTAAGAAGGTGATGATTCTCCTGTAATTAGCTGTATGTTTTAAATAAAACCAGCTTTTCTGTGCAAGTTCCTGGATCAGTCATTTCATCCTCCTTTCAAAACACATGATCAACAAGGTTAATGACACTGTGATTCAAAAGAAGGCCGAAAAAACTTTCTATTAAAATTCTTCAGTCTTAAGAAAAAAGGTGACTTGCGCAGGTGACCTAGTCTCATTCCAATTTGCTAGCTTTTTTTTTTCTTATCTGATGATCTCTTAATAATATTGACTGGATCTAGGATTCATACCATCCCCTGTCAGGGACAGCTACAGAAAGGGCACTGCTGAGTAACCATCTAGCAGTTTGCCAAATTCTATTCACAGCACTGGTGGATGGGAATGGAAAAGGTTTTTTAAAAATATTTCATAGTTGAAATACCCCACCAGCCAAACTGAACTTCAGCCCCAAATGTCTTCTGAGCCACATATGATGAGACCTATAGCATCTGGCTTTCAACACTGCTTTATTATAAAGAAGCAGCACATGCACTGGCTGAACACCACTGTCTTTGTGCCAAGCACCGTGTTGGGTACAAGGGATAAAAAGATGAATAAGACACTGTTTCTAACCTCAAGAAGCTCAGAGTTAGGAAGGGAAAAAACCCTGCTCAGCAAAGAAACTAAAACCACAGTATTGTATTTGCTGCTACTCAGACTGACCCTGCCCCCAGTGTACATCCGGGCGGACGTCTGCCAGTGGAAACTCAAGTCACACGGTCGGTTCTTGCTCCCTGGGCCTTGCTCTACTACGCTGTCTCTTTGGCCAAGGCTATAAACAGAGCACTCCAGCAACTGTCTACAGGGCTAGAGGCCAGGCACCTGAAGCCACAAGAGAGGACAAGGGAAAGGGTACAGCTAAAAACCGGGTCCCCGCCTCAATGCATGTTTCCACTACATCCTCAGGTGTTTCCTGGTCTTTAAGAATCTTAACATCCTGGGGAGTAAAGAGGTTTAGGAAGAAGGAAACATGGGAAAGGGTTTCACAATTGTATTACAAACTGCGTTCTTCCTGGCTTCCCCTTCCCACGTCCACCATAAGCAAAACGGCACACCTAGCAGGTGGCCATCCAGGGGGATGTCTCCTCTGAGGCCTGGTGCACGCGGAGAAGGCAGATCTGTGTTCTTGCTTTTGCTAGAACACACCCTTTCTGAATTCAGAGCAAAACACTGCTTTCATAAGGACGTCGAGAAGTTGCTCCCCAGTTTACCAGGCCCTGAAATGCCATTCTTCTGGCACTGGCTCACAAAAGCATAGTTCAAAATGTCCACATAGTTTCTAAAAGAGGCCATGCTGCCTATACCCCGACACATGAAAGAATCCAGTGACACTCCTGCCTCAAGAAAATTCTCCAGATGAGGTCCAGGCACTGAACACAGGGCAGCCAGCTGGTCCTGTGTGAGTCATGGAATGGAACGTGTCTGAAATCTAAACAAGTGGCATCCTCAGGACCTACTGGTGTCAGCTTTTCTCTTGGCTCTCCCATCCCCCCGGGGCAGGAAGCCTGGTATAAACAGGACCTCGCTCTCTTTCCCTGCTCTGCCCCCACTTTCCCAGGGACAGCAGACTGTGGCAGCATCATTTAACCCAGTTCCTTAAACGCTTTTGACCCAGTCTATCTCATCCCCTGTCCTCCTCCCCCTGCCCCCAGATAGCATCCCCAAGCTGCCTGGGATGGTCTTGGTTATAGGAACTGTCATTTTCTGCTGCAGGAGGAAGGAAAGCAGGTGGTCAGTTAAAGAAGGCAAGACATGGGCTCAGGGACCTTTAGCAAGAAAGAAATGAAGGAGAATTGGGAGGGTAGTGAGATATGAGTGTCGTGAGCTCCTCACGAGGTAGGAGCTGGTAGGAGAGGAAAATCCAGGAGCCTTGGTTTGGTCCCAGCTCTGCCACTACAGAGGAATGGGGCTTTGTGCAAGTCAGGGCTACTTAAAATGCTCACTCATGTCTCCTTCAGCCCAAAGTCTTTATTAGTCTCCCTCTCCCACCCCACCTCTGACACAGCAGCCTCCAGACAACGCAAGGGCTCCAGAAATCGGTCTCCTCTCAGTCAAAACAAAGAACAGAGGTGCGCAAATGCTGCGTAGTGGTCTTCCGCCTTCCCTGCATGACTAGCCCAATCGTGGGTGGCCCAGAAGACTTTCGAGGACCTCCAGGCAGCTCAAGACCCAAAAGGTTAAGATTCAGTCAGACCTGGGTTCAAAGCCCAGCTCTCACGCTACGCTTATTAACTATGTGAACTTGGGTAAGAGAAATAACTTCTCTGAGCTCTTCGTCAACAGTACTCTATGAGCCATTACTGCCGGGCATGAAAGACCATTCAAACAGCACTTTGCATTCACTTAGAACTATTTCAGAACAATAAAGTTCACTGGCGATGTGGGCTGCTCCAGACTCACGAAGAACAGAAAAAGGAACGGGAGAGAATGCAATGGAAAGTACAAATATGAAAAATTCCCTCCACTCTGTCTGAGTACCCTTTGCTTTTCTTCCAGGCATCTCCAAGCACTTTACACATATTATGTTGTTCAGGCCAACTCTTGAAGACTGGGAAGTTAATATTCCTCCCACCCTCTTTTCTCGAGAGTGAACCAGAGAATAACCTGCGCTCTCCCTACAGGCAGGACCTCTGTCTCCTTATTCCTGGCCCCAACCCCAGTATGAGTACAGTGCTTGGCACTATCTCCACGAAGCACAGTAAGCTGGGGGGAATAATATGGCTAATGTGTACTGAGCACCTGCTAGGTGCCAGGCACTGTTCTAAATGCCTTACAAGTATTCCTTCATCTAAACTTGAAAGCAACACTATGAAGTAGGTGGTATCAGGGAACTGAGGTCAAGGGAGGCTAAGCAACTTGCCTGAGATCACACAACTAGGAAATAGTCCAATTAATTCGCCTGACTCCAGAGCCTGAGCTTTTAACTATTAAGCTATAGCCTCCTTGGTTTAAGTTATACCTCTTCAGCTGCTTAAATAAATCCACTAAAAGCCCAAATCAAACACAACCAACATTTTGTCTTTGAAAGAAAAGATAAGGGCCCTGCCCTTGTGGAGCTCTTTTGACTTTGAGAACACTTTCTACTTGGCAGTGAGGAGGGGCAACATGCTTGGGGTTCCTCCCTTCTTTGCTGGAAAGGTCATTATTTTCGCATACTGATTTTCTGAAAAGCAGAAGGGTATTTCATCCTAGTGTGGAATGTGGGGCCTTCAGTCCTACCTTCAGCATTTATTGAGTCCCTCCCTTGCCCCAGCACTGAACTCTGTGGGAGTGGGGGGCCCACAATGGGCAAATAAATGGCCAAAACACTCATGATCTTTGTGCTCATAGAGCGCCAAGTCTAATGCAAAAGGATAAAGTAACCATACAGATCAAATTGTAACTAGGAAGGTAAAATACATGGTTCAGTGACTCTAACTTACAAAAGATAAGACGTAGGAACTAGTCAAGGAAGTCCAGATAGCTGTGAGGAAGGCAAGCTTGAGCCGAGATAGCCAGGATGATTAGAAAGTTAGTAACCAGGGAAGAGGGATGGGAAGAACATTCCAGGCAAAGGAAATGGTGCAAGCAAAGCCCTTTAGTCAGGAGATGGTTGAAACAGTTAGGTAAGCGGGGACCAGACTGTGCAGGAAGGTGACAAGATCAGATTTGCCTTTAAAGATAACGTCTTCCCAGCAATGTTTTCATTTGCATAAACTCCTGCCCTCTACCCCCAAAATAGGCTGGAAACGTAGAACTTATAAGAGAACTTCGAGTGAATAACAAATGCTCTTATGCTGAGGTCTTTCACCTCAGGATGACTGTGGTGATGACCATGACCATCAAGAGCCTCACCTATTACAGGTGTGCCTTCAGCTCTGATACCACAGGGACCAGCTTCAAGATACAGGGCACATACAGTCATCAAACAAAAAGCTCAGGCACGAAGGAGAAGCAAGGAAAATCAACACTGCCCTGGAAAGAACATTTTTTTACAATGGAAAAGGATGAACAGTATGCCTTTTGCACATATGCAAAAAATTATCTCATCTCTTTGGTGGCAGCATAAACTGTGGGACTAACATCATTTTCCTTAAGAGTTTCCATGTCTTAGAGTTGCTATTCTTAGCTGAGCCACTATAAAGGTCAATTTAACCAGCATAAGAACTTTCAAAGTGCCAGCATAAAAAGAGACACTGGGCAAAAATGGTTCCCCAGGGATGGTTTTAATTTGCCAATTTATGGGGCTGGAAAACCTTGCTAGCAACTGGCAACAGCGTTTTCATGCCCTTAGGAAAGCACTGAAGTTTTAAAGTTCAAAAGTGAAAAATAGGAAAACTGAATTCCTTCACAGGATGCTAATGCGCAGATACTAAATATCTTGGCTGCTAGATCTGAAAGAATCTGGAGCACCACCTCTGGCCTTCTCTGTGGGGAAAACAAATGGTTTCTAATGGAAACGTTCATTTCCACAAATCAAATA